TATGCAGTGACGCAGGCGTTGTGAGCGTAAATGAGAGAGAGTCGATTCGACTCTGCTCTTTAATTCCGGATTATCGATAAGGATACGATTACTCTCGATTGAACATTATGAATTATGTGTGGTATGGATTATGTGTGGTGATAGTGTGCTTATGATAAGTCCCCAGGATTCAGATCTCATACGCAGAACAATATTACGCAGAATTTCAGGAAGAATCACACACAAACCTTCTGCTTTAATCAATTTTATTTCTAGCTAACTTTAATTTTTGGATAATATGAAAACTCAATCTCGAGATGTTGGAATTTCAACACAGCGTTAACATGATACCATCACGATTGCGTTGTTTCACTTTGATAACGGCACCTGTGGTTAATTCCCGACGCGTAACGCAATCAATCGGTTGTTGAGAGAGAGATTAAACATGCATACTATTCTATCAAACCTTAACTCTATTATATGCAAATTCGTATACTTGAATTATTACACAACACGGCACTCGGTCTTTGATTCGTATCCAATCCTTAACACATTCTGATATGCGAAATTATTATGCTTGAAATCGTCAGCACAGTACCACGGCGATGTTCGTTCATTGATTCATCAACGATTATGCAATTAAAGCGTTCGACTGAAATACTTCTGATTGCCTCATCAACGTAACTCAATGGGTGGCGATGTTTTTCGTTATCAGCTAATAGTTGACGCAGTTATCATGAGTCTTGTATGTTTAATGGGAGCGTTGTTGATTTATTGCGTTGAGCAAACGCCTAGGTTGATTTCCTTGTCAAAAAAAATCTTTGTTCGTTGTGTAGCGGTGGGGGAGTGAGGAGGGGGGGGGACTGTGTGGGGGGCATACGAACGGCTGCCAGTTTCTGTCCACCGCTGGCTGGATGAGTCAGCACGACGCTCGCCGTCGTCGCGCCGATGGGTGTTGAGTGCGGGGCCGCTGCCCTCTCAGCGCTGGTGACGCGAAGTTGTGCGCTGTAGCACGCTGGTGGCGCGCTGTTGGCACGCGCTGGTGCTGATGCTGGTGCTGATGGCACCAGGTGCGCAAACGCGCCCGTGCTGGTTCGCTGACAGCAGTTTCTCTCCACTGCTGGTTGAGCTGCTGCACGCTCTTGCTTGGCGTTGCTGGCCGCTCTCTTTCCGTTGCTGTAGTATGACACTGCGCTCGCGGGCGACAGGTCAAGTTTTCTTCTGCTGAGTGAGCCGAGTCGCACGCGCTCTCTTGGTTGAGGTTGTTGGCGGCTCTCTGACAGCAGGTTTCCTCCACTGCTGTATGGCTCACTTTTGTTGATACATCGCGACTCAGCGATCCTCGCTACTCAGCGAGGCTCGGAGCCAGCCGCTCCCTGCGACTGCTCGTCCTGTGGACGTCTTGACTCGCTGATCTGTCTTGACTGACTTAACTCTTGACTTAACTGTTGACTGACTTTTGAAAATGCGGCTGACCGTTATATTCAAAGACAATTCTCTCCGCGCAGTGGAAAAGGGGGGGGGGCGTGGTCTGTGTGTGTGTGAGTTCGTGTGTAGCGTTAGTGCGCTGCGCTATGAACCTGGCGACCCGGGTTCGATTCCCGCTCACGGCCAACACCAGTGACGATTATCTGAACCGGTCCCGGGCCTCCCCTAGGTCGACTCAGCCTCAAATGAGTATCTGGTGCGGTGTGTAAACATCGCCACTAGGGAGACAAAGGCGGTCGGGCGTGGTGCTGGCCACCCACCCCCTCGTGTACCGTTCCGGCCTTCATAGGTGCTCGCTAACAGCACTTGCCCCTACAGTCTGTTACAGGCTATATGGGGGATCTTTGTCTTTGTTTGTGTACAGATGGCTCCTGCGATAACGATCTGTTTGCCCTGGCGTGAAATTCCTCTCTCGCGCTCTGCGGGAGAGACAAAGGTGGTCGGGAGCACCTATCTCTTTATACTTTCGACTTTATATTTCTCAAATACAATTTGGTCCCATGTTCGCCAAGACTCGTGTTTGTAACTACGTCCTCCCGACACCCCTCCCGGTTTACCGACGTTCGCATTGTTATGATGGAATTATTAAAAAGAAAAATAACTTTCATCCTGAGTTTAAGAGGTCCGTTTCCAGATTGTTGGAATCCATATCCCTTGGTTCTGTAAGGTTCTATAATGGAATATCGTTTAAGGTTAACACGTTATTATTAATGTTATATTGCAATTTTCTTTGAAACTTTGTTTGCCTGGTTGCCGTGTGTGGGGTGGGTGTGTCTCCTCATCAAACCCGGCTGGCTTTTCCAGATGGCCCCTTGTGATAAGGTGTAATTCCTGCTTCTCCGCGCTGTGAGAGAGACAAAGATGGTCGGGGTTGCTTGGGATATTGCTTAAACTCTTTCGCAAGTTTGCCCGTTGTCTCATTCCTTCTCGATAACCTTTGATGTGACTGTATTTTGTCTCCAAGCTTTGTTTTAACAGTAAAAGTATTAAAGGTGAAAATCATTTGATGTCGAATTAATCATTGGATAAGGATTCACTGATGTGTCTGGTGGCCTGTTCTTAATTGGAGTGAGCGTTAGGACCGCTAATTTATCTTATTCTTGTTGTTGCCTTTTATTTATTTTTTTTACCCGTTGTTTTACTGGCAAATAAGGAAAAGAATATGTATACGATTTACCCTGTTGGCGTCTCCGTGTCTACTCTCTTGGTGTTCTGACCTCGGAGGGACCTTTCCTAAGGGGCCCATCAAACTCTTGTTCATCTGGAGATTTTCGCAGATAGCTGTTACATCCTCGCCTTGAGAGTTTTATTATTTATTTATTTATTCATGGCCTGTTTACGATCGACATCTGGTTTTTCGTGTTTTTGGGTTTGTGTGTTTTTATGCATTATTTCCTTAATTATTAAAATATATATCGGCAGATATTATTGTTAATATCAATTTTGGAAAAGGCTCATATACAACAAATCCCTTCTTCCAGTCAAAATGATATATCTTTTGCAAAGCAGAAATGCTTCTGAAATCATCTCCCTCAACCGACAACCTGGCTTTATATCAGTTCATCGCTTCTCACTTCTTATTCGACTAGGAAAAAGCCAAACAAGATTACTTTTGGTCCTCATCAACTCTATCGCTACCCATCAACTATTTTCAACTCTCAATAATCTTCTCCATTACTTTCCCGCTACTATATCATTCCTATATTCTGTCCCTTCTGCCATATACATTGGTAACTTGTTTGCTAAAAAAAAACTTCCATTCCTCATTTCCTTCCCCTTCACCTACTGTGTAGTTCTTTCAATTGTTTTCCTCGCATGCACCTCAAACAAGTGCACTTTCTCTATTTTACTCCAACTTATACTTCTACAATCTCCTCCATAATTTTAAAAGCGCTTCTTAATCTTCGTACACTGGACCCTATCCCCTACTCCCTCATACCCCATCCCCTCCCTCTGATTCTCCGCTACCTTGTATCCCTTTTCAATTATTTGGTTTCCTCTGGTGTCTTCTCTATGAACTTCAAAGCTGCCATCATTCCACTCTTTACAAAAACGTATCTCGATACTTTTCACCCTGATAATTACTATCCTATTTCCCTTCTAATTTTATTTTCCAAACTTCCTAAATGCCTGGTTCACTCCTGCCTCACTCGGTAAATTACTTCTCACTCTCTATGCTCACAATTCCAATCCTGGTTCCATCCCTTCCATTCTACTGAATCGGCCGTACTTGCTGTACAGAGATATTTGTCAAACTCTGCTCACACGGGCCATTCTTCTATTCTCATTTTACTCGACCTTACTGCAGGCTTCAATACATTTGACCATCCCACTCTATTTTCTACTCTTCACTCTATCGGTATCTCGGGTATCCCTTTTTCCTGATGTTAGTCTGATCTCTCCTCAGACTGGCATCATCAAACCACATCACGTATCCCCATCCCAGGTCACTGCAGTTGTATCCAAATGTTCTGTCCTTTGTCCCATCCCTTTTCTCTCGACATCTCTGTACTCAAATCCCTCCTCTCGTCATTCGACCTTCCCCATAATTTAGTTGCTGATATTAAACACATTTTCCTTATTCCCCTTTTTTCACTCCTGACCTAGCTTCTCACATTTCCAGCTGCTTAATGGCTATCCAATTGTGGATGTCAAAGCACTTTTTTTCTTTCAACCCTTCCAAAACCCACGTTATTTTTCCCCTGTTTCTCATTCCCTTCCTCCTGGCTGACTATCTCCTTACCCCAATCTGTCTTCCCTCTGTCTCATCTGCCCGGGATTTTGGCACCGTCATTTTTGACTCCTCTCTCTATCTGACCACAAATCTGCCAATATCAGTTCCTGGCACTTTCACCTGTGCAACATTCGCCAAGTCCACCCCCTGATCTCAAATATTTCTGCAACACTTCTAATTCGCTCCCCCATCTTGACTCGACTCGATTTCTGCATCTTGCTCACGCTTGGTCTTCCCTCTTATACATCAAAACCTCTCCCACAAATAAAAAATGCCGCTTCTTTTTACACACATTCATGCCCTCTCCATTGACAATCCTGTCTGTTGCCCCTCCTCTTTGTGACCAATCACGATTCCTTTCTTCTTCAATTCTGGCCCCTTATACTGGAGCAGACTGCACAAACAAAGCCTCACTGTCTAACCAAACTCCCATTCCCCCCTCCCTTCCCCCACCGTCAGCTCCATCCCTCTTCCCAACTTCCCTACATATTAATAACACTCACTCATCATTAACCACTCGTTGCCAGTTTGTCTTAATTTACGTCATGCATCACCACATTCATCATGTACATCAATCCTTCTCATTCACTCATCTCACCTCACCACTGTTATGTTGTACAAATTGCTAAATCTTTGTTCAGCACCATGGTTAAAGAGCTATTATTGAAAATATATATATATAATATCGCAAAATATTATTTTAGATTGTATAGCTAAAATCGCAAATGAAAATAAAAAAATGTCTAAGTTTAAAAACATTTCATCATAATAATTTTGATTTTTTTTCTGTCAGTTTTCTGACAACACAGAAATACCATCTGAACCAAGGAACAAGGTGCATTGCATGGCCTACGTCGCTGATCTGAATCAATTTCTAAACATGGAATTAGATGATTTGGAGAAGTTGAAGAAATTTGGGAACCATGCACGTCGTAAACATAGTAAGATCTTATTACTCATGTGTGCTGTGTTTGCCCACACACAACTTATTATCGTGCTTTTGCACACACCTTTTAACCTCATTGGTACTGTTTCTTCATTATTAGGCCTAAATATATACCATTATGTAACATTAACAATACGTATTATTCGATCTTGATTGGAAGATTTCGTGACTGCAGGAATCCATAATCTTTGCTTCTTTCGGTAAAGTCACGTAGGTAGAAAAATAAAAAAATAAAAAAATGTTCTACGTGACTTTACCGAAAGAACCAAAGAGTAGGTATTATTAGATTAGAAGCAATTTTATTTTAATTATACTGTAAATGAATATGTAAATAAATAATTGTATACCCGCATTAAACAGGCTAATGCAATGTATATATATAATCAATACCCTATGAATAGGCAATGAGAAAAAAATCCATATAACCTATGAGTACACCTGCCAGTTAGGTATGGATGTGCTTTGAATAAAATAGATATGCAGATAATATGTATCCTTCATTAAAATTGCATTTATTTTACTAACGGCCCCATGACCATTAAGTACAAGCTAAATTGGGACCAGTTTCTACCTACATCCTCTCACGATGAGAGTCAGGCTTGCTTCAAGATGCCACTTTGTAAGAAGTTCCGGGGCAACAGTTCTGGAGCATCTCAGAACATCCATTAGGTATCAGTCACGTGAGTTGGATACGGTGTATAGAGAAATATACTGGCAATCTAGACTACAGGTGTTGTAGTAAGAGTTGATTAATGGCAGGTTCTGGTTCATCAGTCTGCAGAATATTTGTGAATCTGTACGTAGCTTTACCGAAAGAACCAAAGAGTATGGATTCCTGCAGTCGCGAAAGCATCAATTCAAGATGGAGCAAGGTTTTGGTTTCCTTTTTTTCTCACCACTCTTTCTCTTCTTCTTCTCTCTATAGACTATTATTGCATTTGTCATTAGTTTGTTTAACGTGTTATTTTTAACTTAAATTAAATGTTTGTAATGCTTTCTATATGCCCCCAATGACCCCAGGGACATGCTCCTGCACCCACGTCCACTCAGGGTGTCAAAGATCTGGGAATGCAGATCTTGTCTGTGATCCCAGAGGCTGAAGTCGATGGGCGACCGAGCAGTTTCATGGGTAGTCCCCAGACTCTACAACTCTCTTCCACGAGATCTGTACATCTCTGAGACTGTGGACATTGTTTAAACCACATCTTAAAACATGCGTACATACTTTCGTTTATTAAAATATTAGTTAATTAAGAAAACGCCTTTAATCATGTATTGTAACATAATAAGGCATACATTTTAGTTCGTTTTTGTTTCACGAGATTTTATGCTATGGTTGCCGTCATGTATTGTACCCTCGATGAAATGCACTTTATTAATATAATTATTAATATAATTATTATATTAATCTCGAGTGGGGTCATATCCTGAACACAGTAATACAAAATACAGTCTTAGACGGATCATTTCAAATTTTCAGATTATCGGTAGAACAACAATCTATGGAAATCATTCGCATCTTGTAGACTGAGACATTTATGACCATTTTGACTAAAAGTTATTTTAACCTGAAAATTTACACTGGAAAAAGTCAAATACAAGTAGCCGCAAATTAGCAACATATATTATTGCCAAAAGTGAAAATTAAGTGGGTGTGGGTTTATCTGTTTGGGAATGCTGACAAAGACGTTTGCACGCTGAAAAGCTTCAGCATGAAGGGAGTGTGTGTGCATATGGGTAGTACGGGACTGTGGGCAACGCTTACACTCCACACAAACGCAGGCACCTGCTGCTCTGCTACTCCTGCTTACCCTGCTCCCTATTGATCCTGTCACCCACAAATGTGCGACTGACGCCACTCAGAGAGACTGGAGGTGGTTCGATTGCAAGTTCAACAGCGCTGTCAGTATTGCTGTCAACGAGCAATGACAATTACATTTCCACTGCAAACGTCACCAGTAGAAAGCACTTGACTCGATGCCCCATCAGTTATGGAAAGTGATTGGCAATTGGGTTGAACACTTGATGGGAAGAATGGACGACAGGTCATGGTCGAGACTGGCGATGGTTCAGGCGCGGTTCGTCCACTCAGGACCTTGAGGCGCCGCCCCACCAAGCAGCTGGACATGACAAAATATTTTTCTAACGAAAATACATTTCTGTAAATTGTTTTGTTGTGTTTAGAATGTATATATAATTATTCTTTCAACGTGAATTGCCTAATGAAGATAACATTTTAAGTTGTTGATATGAGAAACCGCTGCAACACCACCGTCTGATTTGTACCTCGGGGAGGTCTCAGGGCGGCTGTAAAGGAGTGAGAGATATCCCTTCATTTAATGCGATTAGTTTCGCATTTTTAGCAACGGCATTTGAGACCCATTCAGGGCGGTGAAAAAGTTGCTCCATAGCTGTAATTACTGTGTAACAATGGTAGGTTGCACTGTGCAAATATATCAGGTCACAGCTTACACGCACTTGGCTTTCGGCAGTGTCAAATGGGTTGTGTAATGTGGACTTAAGAGTCAGAGGGACAGCATTTGAGTGAATTGTTCTGTATCGCATTGTGTATAAATGGCAACCGTTGGTAAATAAGACAGTTATATCACTTACACAGGAAGGCCAATAACACGACGAGGTTTTTTCTGAATTCGAACACCATATTTTCAGAGGTCACTCACAACAGCCCCAACTAGTGGAAATGTCGCGAACCGCCACTGCGTTGGTTCGATAGCCAAATTGGTGACTAGACCTAAGAGGCCATCTGCTGCAGAGGTGGAGCAATCACATCAGCTCGTGCGCGGGTGCAACGTCAATTGTTCCATCGCAGGATCTTGAGAGATGGCGACAGCCTAGGAAGGCCTTCATCCAGCAGTGAATTGACCTTAAAAAATACCAATAGGCTTTTTCCCTTTCTGGTAATTAAACAGGAGGTGGTACGATATTAAAACACCAAATAGAAACATTTTGCAAGGAATCAAGTCTGCTTTAACCACACGCACTTGTGGTGAACATTCAAACACACTTGTCTTTGTACTGTTCACCTTTTGGCGTTCTCTTGACTGACACTGTTGTGATGAGGCCCTAAAGTAGGTTGATGTCTCTGGTGTAGACCAAACAGTTTCAAAGACAATGCATAAATTATCAGAGCATGTTTGTTTGCATGTTCACCACAAGTACGTGTGGATAATGCAGACTTGATTCCTTGCAAAGGTTTCTATTTGGTGTCTGAACGTCTTAACACACCACCTGTTTTATTGCCAGGAAGGATAAAATATTTTCGTATTTTTTCATACTTTAATACTGACAAAAAGGTCCAATTATTTATTGACCTCGCCTGCTGATGATTCAAAGTGTTACTTTAAATACCCTGAAGCATAGTATCTCACGTGTAAAAATGTATCATATGAACAATAATATTTTTTTTTTATTGCAGATATCAACACGTTTGTTATAATCACCAAAATAGATGCGTATTTATCTGGGAAAACATCAATTCGTGACATCTACAAAGTGAAGGACATTGAGATGCAGGTAATTATTTTAAAAACAATATGCATGCATCTCCTTTTGACTGTGTTGGCTTCGCGTTGCACTGTTACAACCAATTTCAAAATAGTTACGAATATTGTGATTGTATTTGGTCAAAGATTACAGGGCATACTTGCATTTTAATAAGTTAGCATAAAAATAGCTTACATTTAATTTGCTTAACATTTCCTCATCTAATATATACGCCATAAATTGACTGAATGGCTGACATAGATTGTCATGATATTCTTAAAGGGTTATAAACCTGATATATGTCACAAATATAAAAGGGTGTTTGAATAATACATTCTGGAATTGTGATTCTAAATTGAGTGAAATTTGAACCCAGTCCATCACAAAATTGTCTTCTAATGAAGGGTGCTGATCATGAATATAAAGTAAAAATACAAACATGAAATGTTAAATATTTTTACTTTGCATGCACACACACTTTCTCTGCCACGTAAAAATAGAACATCGCCACGTTGTCACATTCCATTCTAAATTTTTGATTCATCTTTGGAAAGGTTGATGGATTGAAATATAAAATTAAAGTAACAATCTACACTAAGATTTGTACTTTTGTCACGTAGTAAAATGTGTGAATGTTAAAACCGATTTCAAGTGGGTTATGGAACGATAGTAACTAGGAGTAGTGACTTTCATACAATATTTAGTTCTTAACGTTCAATTTCATTGCAGTAACCGTAGCCAGTAGCATAATGAAGTTACTTGTGAATGACAAACATAGCCATCTTCTTTGGTTCTTTCGGTAAAGTCACGTAGAATGAGAATAAAATAATAAAATAAAATAACAATAAAATTCTCACGACGTTTCGGCCACAACACAAGTGGCCTTCATCAGGTGAAGGGACAAGACTGTCTCGAGGACAGCGCTGGAGCGAACACAGCCAAGCTCAGACCGCGACCTTTAAGCTGTGTGAGAAGAAACAGAGCGCCTTGACAAAGAAATTAGCATAAAAATTAGCATTTAATTGGCGGACTTAGCATGATAAACTTGGTAGAGGGGGTGAACATGTGCAGACCGGCGAGGGGGGGAGGGGGAGTTTACATATTGATGGTGTGAAAAGGGAATTTAAGCTGCTGCGAAAGTTTGGGATACCACTACTTGAAAAAATATACTGTACCATTAAAAATTAGTTTAATGTTTGGTTCGGATAATTTAGCATTGAAATAGCTGCGTGATTAGCTTGTGACTGGTCGCAGAAATGGCTATGTTAAAGTCAAAGCCTACACATCCACAGAGGCACCTAGTACAATTCAAACAGGAGAATTTAGCATTGAAATAGCTGAGTGATTAGCTTGTTTGATTTGTACTAGGTGCCTCTATGGATGTGTAGGCTTTGACTTTAACATAGCTATTTCTATGACCAGTCACAAGCTAATCACTCAGTTATTTCAATGCTAAATTCTCCTGTTTGGTTTGTACTAGGTGCCTCTGTGGATGTGTAGGCTTTGACTTTAACATAACCATTTCTGTGAGCAGTCACAAGCTAATCACTCAGCTATTTCAATGCTAAATTCTCCTGTTTGATTTGTACTAGGTGCCTCTGTGGATGTGTAGGCTTTGACTTTAACATAGCTATTTCTATGACCAGTCACAAGCTAATCACTCAGTTATTTCAATGCTAAATTCTCCTGTTTGATTTGTACTAAGTGCCGCTGTGGATGTGTAGGCTTTGACTTTAACATAGCCATTTCTGTGAGCAGTCACAAGCTAATCACGCAGCTATTTCAATGATAAATTATCCGAACTAAACATTAAACTAATTTTCAATGGTACAGTATATTGTTTCAAGTAGTGGTATCCCAAACTTTCGCAGCAGCTTAAATTCCCTTTTCACACCATCAACATGTATACTCCTAATTTTTATGCTAATTCCTTTGTCAAGGCGCTCTGTTTCTTCTCACACAGCTTAAAGGTCGCGGTCTGAGCTTGGCTGTGTTCGCTCCAGCGCTGTCCTCCAGACAGTCTCGTCCCTTCACCTGATGAAGGCCACTTGTGTTGTGGCCAAAACGTCGTGAGAATTTTATTGTGTTATTTTATTAATTTATTATTGTATTCTCATTCTACGTGACTTTACCGAAAGAACCAAAGAAGATGAATATTAATATTGCAGATGGACATGATATTGAGTTTCTTAAACATAGGGGCAGATGGACCCAATTAGTTAGAGGAGGTGGCCAGTCTTGAAAATGTATTTTGGATGATGTGTAATATATGTAGGTAGGAAGAATATCTACTATTACATTACAGTATATGGGTAAATTATACCTTTGTATGGAGTTAGAAAGCAAGCCTGATGAACCAAACCATCCGTCTTTCTGATGATACCAATGGACTTCGTCACTTTACTGCAGACAAAGTGAACGTGATATTTCCAGCACAGAATTAGCAATAACTTTGCCTGCTTCTGTTCCATACAAAATCGTGCATTTTGCGAAATGAGTTGTTCCAGCAAACTAGTTTGGTCAGTTCACAACATAATTTAATGCCGACAATTATTGCATCTAATAAATAATAATTGGATCAATGCCATAACCTGTTTGAAATGTGACCCAAAGTCATTCCATCTCCATTGTTTGCAATGCCTATAACCGTCACAAACGAATGCAATCTCATTAAAAATGTGCATCTCTCCTCTTTTTCAGATGAAGAAAATATGTTCAGCTTTAGAATGCGATAAGAAGTTCATCTTCCCAATCATAAACTATAGCGACTGCTTTAACTTGAACTACGATAAAAATATCCTCGCCTTGTCTCTCTTGAGCGCACTCGTTGACACCGCTTCTGATTGCATGTCCAATAATAAAGACAGCAGCGAATGAAAAGGAACAAACTCCCATTCCACATCAGTCTCTCATCCTTACTTTCCTTCTTTCGCTCAGCCCTCAAGTCCTTTCTCTTTTCCATTGCCTTTCCTTTTCCACTGCGTCCACCCCTACCAGTTTATTCCCTCGCCTCTGTCTCACTCCCAGCCCCCAGTCCTCTTCCTCCTATGAACCCGAATTCCTGACTGGGCCCCCACGTTTCTCTATGCACACCGACCCAGATCTCTCCTCTAGCCCTACACGGTGCTCCTCATTCAGCTCAACTATCCGGCCACCAGACACGCTGCCCCTACCACCATCCATGCCCATTTGACCACTTCATGCTTGTGCCACATACCCCGCTTCCTCTCATCCTCGTTGCATCCATCCGTCACTCTCACTCAGAATCACATTCCACCTTATTCTGCTTTACCTACCCCAGCAACATCAGCTCATTTCCCAGCCCTTGTCCCTCCATACATTCCGTCACCTCCCTCACTGACAGACGCTCCACCCCACTCGTTGCTCCGTTTGCCACATGTGTACTGCCGTCGGTTTGCATTGTAAAGCGCCCTGGAAAGAGCGCTGCTATATAAATCCTTATTACAATAGAATGTTATACTGTGCTAAGAAACATAATGGTATGCAGTGGATTGAGGAAATGTCGAAATGATAAGTGTTACTAAAAAATACTCGGATATTACTATGCATCTCGATCAGAGCTTGTACAATCAATAGGTGTAACCACATTTTGATCTACATGTGACTTGGAAAAGTCTGACGATAATGAATAATAATCTACATTTTCAGTGTTCATAGTTGTCACTTGAAGCTTACTGCATGCGTATTAGGATTCATAATTACGGTATTTACCCTTTTTCCTGGTGAGATGTGGTTATTATGAGGTCTCCTTCCACTGCAAATATCTAGAATAATCTCACTGCTGTTTCTGAATTTAATGTATCTTCAATTCGAATTATAAATTATCTGCATCGTTGAGGTATGGGTTTTTTGTCTTCAGGAGATGTGACGATGGCGTGAATCTGCGTAACTCCACGTTGGTCCTCACCAGACTACGTTAGCGCCATCACCTTGATGGCGAATGAGCAAACTCTATTCTGCTAGTTTGTCAGTATTCTTACAACAACGTCATAGCATTACTGTGGTAGTGGTTACTGGTAGAGTAATGAATTATAACAATAATTAAAATAACTGTAGGTGATTGGTAATTGTGATGTAAAGCTTTCGTGACTGCAGGAATTCATATTATTTGGGTCTTTCGGTAAAGTCACGTTTATAGTTTCAAAGAAAATAACAAAAAACTACGACATTTCGTCATGACCACCGCTTGTGTTGCGATCGAAACGTCCTAGTTTTTTGTTATTTTCTTTGAACCTATCGACGTGACTTCACCGACAGACCCAAATAATGATTGGTAATTGATTGTGCGCTCTGCACGCGATGACAAAATAGCACCTGGATATAGATTTAGAATTAACAGTCTGCATGTGCTAATTAACTGTTGTCACTGTATTACAATGAGCCACAAGGTAAAATAAAATAATAATCATAATATCTCCTCCATGTCGCATTTTTTTTTTTCAAAAATTACTTGGTCATGAAATGAAACACACGTTAGGGTTTTTAGAGGTGCATACAATTTTTGGGGAGTTTCAAGTTCATCATACCGCTATTTCAATAATATACTGTATGCCTCCAGTTCCCTGCCAGGGATCCTCTCCACCCCAACGACAATGCGTCTATTGTTAGTGCTTGCAGGCAGTTGCCACCGACACTATACAAGCGCGTTTTGACGTCACTGCTCGCGTGCCAGCCAGCCAGTCTAATCTTGGTCTCTGCGAGGAATTTGGCTCTCGAACGGTGGGCTTTAGGTCCAAAAAAATATGAAAGGTGCGCTAAGCCCCGCGGTGGGAATAGGCAATTCCGTTTTCCCATCCGTAAACGTTAGTCGTTTAATTAAAAAATTAGTGCCATTCTTATTTTAATTATTTACTTATTGCACGCCCTCGACCGTAACAACTGACGACAATCGTCGGGGGGGGGGGGGGGGGGGGGGGGGCGGGGGGGGGGGGGCGGACCCTGCCAAGTGATGCGCGTTCGGTCCTGCTCACGGGGGACATTTTATTTTACGCGTTTAACATGCAATAAATATACATATAACACTGCGGATTTTTCTTCATAGTGTAATGTCCTCTACCCCCCCCCCCCCCCCCCAACACGATGAGTGCAGTTTATACTACAGAGCCTGTAGATAATTATATTATAGTGCTTAGAGAGCATTGTTGCACGGGAAAGGGGATGCTGGGGGGGGGGGGGGGGGTAGTGCCATCTCTGCCGGCTCGCCAATGTACGCCAGGACGGGGGCTCTGCACGGGAACAGGCCTCACCGCGCCTATGGTAAGTGCAACTTTTCTTGCTTCTTATGCTACAATCACGTACGTACACAACTGTTGTTTAATTCATCACCTTGGACTCACTCATCATATGCTGACTCACATTACCACTGACCCATTCACTCATCATACGATGAGTCACACATATCATACACTCACATTACCACTGACCCATTCAATCATCATACACTAATTCACTCATCGTACACTCACTCACTGATCATATGCCGACTCACTCATCATACCCTGACTCACGCAACCACTGACCCATTCACTCATCATACACTAATTCACACATCATGTGTTGACTCACTCACAAATCATACACTCACTCACACAACCAGTGACCCATTCACTCATCATATAATAATTCACTCATCATACACTTACACAACCACTGAACGATTCACTCGTACACTAATTCACTCATTATACAATCACTCACACATCATACGCTGATTCACTCAATACACTAATTCACTCATCATACACTCACCCATAATGCGATGACTCACTCAGACATAACACACTGACACTACCACTGACGCATTCACTCATCACATACTAATTCACTCATCGTACACTCACTCATCATACGTTGACTCACAACCACTGACCGATTCACTCATCATTCACTCATCACATACTAATTCACTCATCGTACACTCACTCATCATACGTTGACTCACAACCACTGACCGATTCACTCATCATACACTAATTCACTCATCATACACTCAATCACACAACCCACTGACCGATTCACTCATCATACATTAATTCACTCATCATACACTCACTGATCATACGATGACTCACTCACACATCACACACTTACTAACACTACTACTGACCCATTCACTCATCATACACTAATTGACTCACCATGCACTCACTCATGATACGCTGACTCACTCATCATGCCCTGACTCACTCAACCACTGACCCATCCACTCATCATACACTAATTCACTCATCATACACTCACTCATCATATGCTGACTCACACACACACATCATACACTCACTCACACAACCCCTAACCCATTCACTCATCAAACAATAATTCAATCATCATACACTCACGCATCAAACACTGACTCACTCATCATTCCCTAACCCACGCAACCACTGAACCATTCACTCATCATACACAATTTCACTCATCATATGTTGATTCACTTTCAAATCATACACTCACTCACACAAGCACTGACCCATTCACTGATCAGACACTAATTCAGTCATCATACACTCACTCATCATACACTCACTCACAACCATTGACCGATTCACTCATCATACACTAATTCACTCATCATACACTCACTCAAGATATGCTGACTCACTCATCATACCCTGACTCATGCAACCACTGAACCATTCACTCATCATACACTAATTCACTCATACACTCACTCACACAACCACTGACCGATTCACTCATCATACACTAATTCATTCATTATACACGCACTTACTCATCATACGCTGACTCACTCATCATATGCTGACTCACACAACCACTGAACCATTCACTTATACACTAATTCACTCATCATACACTCACTCATCATACGATGCCTCACTCACACATCATACACTCACTCACATTACCACTGACCCAATCAATCATCATACACTAATTCACTCATTATACACTCACTCACTAATCAAATGCTGACTCACTCATCATATGCTGACTCACACAACCACTGACCCATTCACTCATCATACACTAATTCACTCATCATACACTCACTCATGATACGCTGACACACTCCTCATATGCTGACTCATTCATCCCACGCTGACTCACACACACACACCATACACTCACTCACACAACCACTGACCCATTCACTCATCATACACTAATTCACTCATCATATGTTAACTCACTCACAAATCATACACTCACTCACACAACCTCCGACCCATTCACTCATCAGACACTAATTCAGTCATCATACACTCACTCATCATACACTCACTCACAACCACTGACCGATTCACTCATCATACACTAATTCACTCATCATACACTCACTCATGATATGCTGACTCACTCATCATACCCTGACTCATGCAACCACTGAACCATTCACTCATCATACACTAATTCACTCATACACTCACTCACACAACCACTGACCGATTCACTCATCATACACTAATTCATTCATTATACACGCACTCACTCATCATACGCTGACTCACTCATCATATGCTGACTCACACAACCACTGAACCATTCACTTATCATACACTAATTCACTCATCATACACTCACTCATCATACGATGCCTCACTCACACATCATACACTCACTCACATTACCACTGACCCAATCAATCATCATACACTAATTCACTCATTATACACTAACTCACTAATCAAATGCTGACTCACTCATCATATGCTGACTCACACAACCACTGACCCATTCACTCATCATACACTAATTCACTTATCATACACTCACTCATCATCTGATGACTCACTCACACATCATACACTAAATAACACTACCACTGACCCTTTCACTCATCATACACTAATTCACTCATCATACACTCACTCATGATACGCTGACACACTCCTCATATGCTGACTCATTCATCACACGCTGACTCACACACACACCATACACTCACTCACACAACCACTGACCCATTCACTCATCATACACTAATTCACTCATCATATGTTGACTCACTCACAAATCATACACTCACTCACACAACCTCCGACCCATTCACTCATCAGACACTAATTCAGTCATCATACACTCACTCATCATACACTCACTCACAACCACTGACCGATTCACTCATCATACACTAATTCACTCATCATACACTCACTCATGATATGCTGACTCACTCATCATACCCTGACTCATGCAACCACTGAACCATTCACTCATCATACACTAATTCACTCATACACTCACTCACACAACCACTGACCGATTCACTCATCATACACTAATTCATTCATTATACACGCACTCACTCATCATACGCTGACTCACTCATCATATGCTGACTCACACAACCACTGAACCATTCACTTATCATACACTAATTCACTCATCATACACTCACTCATCATACGATGCCTCACTCACACATCATACACTCACTCACATTACCACTGACCCAATCAATCATCATACACTAATTCACTCATTATACACTCACTCACTAATCAAATGCTGACTCACTCATCATATGCTGACTCACACAACCACTGACCCATTCACTCATCATACACTAATTCACTTATCATACACTCACTCATCATCTGATGACTCACTCACACATCATACACTAAATAACACTACCACTGACCCTTTCACTCATCATACACTAATTCACTCATCATACACTCACTCATGATACGCTGACACACTCCTCATATGCTGACTCATTCATCACACGCTGACTCACACAGACACACACCATACACTCACTCACACAACCACTGACCCATTCACTCATCATACACTAATTCACTCATCATATGTTGACTCACTCACAAATTATACACTCACTCACACAACCACCAACCCATTCACTCATCAGACACTAATTCAGTCATCATACACTCACTCATCATACACTCACTCACAACCACAGACCGATTCACTCATCATACACTAATTCACTCATCATACACTCACTCATGATATGCTGACTCACTCATCATACCCTGACTCACGCAACTACAGAACCATTCACTCATCATACACTAATTCACTCATACACTCACTCACACAACCACTGACCGAATTACTCATCATACACTAATTCATTCATTATACACGCACTCACTCATCATACGCTGACTCACT